CCGCCTCGCTGGGCAACACACGCTGTGTTCCCGTAAGACTCTGCAGAAACGATGAGACCCTAACATGCATCTTACGTACATTAACTCATCTAACCCACGAGACGGTCCCATGAGGCAGGTACTATTGCTGTCCCCTTCTTAGGGATGGGGAGTGGAGGCACGAGCCATTCACCGGCCCTAAGAGGCAGAGCCGGGATTTGCATGCCGGCCAGCTTGTCCCAGGAGACGTGGCTCTGGCCCTTTCTCTACCCCGCCTCTTGAATACAGGGGCAGGCGGCTGGCTGTGTCTTCGGGCGGAGGTTGGGGTCCCCTTACCCAGGGCTGGTTCACCCGACCTGCCACCTGGGTAAACCCCCATGCAGGCACACCCCTCCTTGAGCTCCCGCATGTACGTGCGTGTTGGTTACGTTGTCTTTCAAACACGGGATGTTCTTTGCACTTGCATAAGGCACCTAGAGTAGTCGGATTCACAGAGACGGAAAATAGAGTGGAGGTTGCAGGGGCTGCGGGGGCGGGGACGGGGAGCTGGTGTTTGATGGCAACAGAGTGTCAGTTTGGGAAGATGAGAATGTTCTGGAGGTGGATGACGGTGATGTGACAGTGACGGTGAGGATGCACTGAAAAAGCTTAAGATGGTAACTTTTATGTTGTGCGTTATTAGTAGTACCTTGAGACAGGGTCTCACTCTGTCGCCCGGGCTGGAGTGCAGCGGCGTCATCATAGCTCACTGCGACCTCCAATTCCTGGGCGCAAGCGATCCTGCCTCAGCCACCTGAGGAGCTGGGACTATGGGTGCACCCATAGCCACACGAGGCTAATTTTTTTTCCAAAATTTTTTTGTAGAGATGGGGGGTCTCACTATGTTGCCCAGGCTGGACTTGAACTCCTGGCTTAAAGTGATGCTCTTTCCTGGGCCTCCCAAAGTGCTGGGATGACAGGTGTGAGCCACCTGCCCCAGCCTGTTAAGTGTATCTTATCACTCACACAAACAACACGTGCTGTTCTAACTTGACATCAGTTGCAAGAGGTAACTACCCCTTAAAGCTGCTTCTAGGAGTGGGGGGACAGCGACAAAAGACACACAGAATGGCCCCTGTTGGGGCCAAAATCCTCCAGGCACAGAGGGGCCGACGGTTGCCTCGTGGGTGAAGAGAACCAACCTTGGAGTCAAGTGGGTCAGAGCCGAATGCAGCCCACCATGGACTGGCCCTGGCTCCTGCAGAAAGCCCCAGTTTCTCATCGTTGAATCGTGGGTTGACGGCCTCCATCCGCAGTACCGTGCGGGCCAAGTCAGGCGACGCACGTGGGAGTGGCCTGCACAGGCAGGCGATCCGATCCAGGCATCAGACTGGGAGTTCTGTCGCGTCCGTCCGTGTCGCATGCTCGTTTCGTGCCCTGCCGGACGGCTGTCAAAAACCGAGGGCAGGGCTATGTGGATTCACGCCCACTCAGACCGCAAGCTCGGCTTGCTCAGGCGGAGCTGGCTGGCTGCAGCCGGGGTCTTGATCCCAAGGCTGTCCCTCCCGCTCGGGGAGCTTGCCAAGGCCCTTTGCTCTGCCCCTTGCTCCTCACTCACGTTCTCAGGAAGTGGCTGTCAGCCTGCGGGCGCAGCGTTTCCTGGAGCCTCCGCTGGGTTTGTGGACTTCAGGCAAGACAGGCGGGACGGGGGGGCCTGGACGAGGGCCGGCGTCCGGACGGAGGGGCAGGCTCGGCAGCTAGGGAGGTGGGGGCGGAGGAGGCTGGTGTTTCTTTGGGACCCTGCAGGTAGGCAGCGCAACGCCAGCGCCCCGCCAGCAGCCACGTGCTAGAAACGGGGTGCTTGCGTGGGGCGCACAGGTAGCATCAAGGATTCTTGTCCTTCGTACTATATCCTCTACCACTGTTATTTGTCAGGAAGGAGGCCCCTCTTTTAAAAGTTAATTCCTAATACCTAGAGGAAGTCACGGTTAACCCCCAAGACTGTGTTCTGGGTGGACTCTTCTCCTCCGTAGCTCACACACCGTGTTGGATGCATCGTCCAATCTCACTGGCTCCCTTTGAAAATGTACCCTAAATCTTCCAGCCGCTTCACCCCCATCGCTC